GGATGAGGGATGATGCTATGATGCCGTGAATGATGATGGCTCTACGAAGTGGCTTGCGCCGTCACGTGCAGAGTTAAGCCGCCTAGCACTTTGGACCAGGCCCAATGAGCATCTTTGGGACGAGAATTTCATCTTTGATTTCCGGGGCACCGCAATTTTCGATCTAAATATTTATCTAACTTCTTGAACGATTTCTCCTTACTAAAAGCTGGCCCCCCTTGGTTTGTGTTTATTTTTTCCCGGTTTGTGGCTTTAGATACGTGCACAGGCATAGGTCATTGGCATCGGTAGACGCCGAATACCTTCACGGTGAGACAGTACAACCAGGGCTAGGTTATATAGAGGGTGACTAGTTGCGAGTCCCAAGTCTCTCATTTAGAACTACAATCAAGCGCCTTGAGCCTTGCGTTTCTTGTTGGAACGATTTGAAAGCAACTGCGACAGAACGAAGTGGCTCACGTCAACATCTGCCCAGTATGATAAATGAGAGGCTATCGTGTTGATGGGATTAAAATCCAAAACACTCCTGGGGGATCACGTCAAGTTAGCGCCATTTTCTGCTCAAGCTGTAAATCGTAAGTGGTGGGCGAAACGTACTCTTGAATACTGTAGTCAACCCTCCCGTTCCGATTGAGTGCTCTCATTTTGCTTTCTTCTGTTCGTAATTTTCGTGCCTTGCGCTGATCATCTTGGGCTTTATCCAACTTCTCTGCTGTTGAAATACCACTGTGTCTTCTTTGGAATTGGGAGTAAAGGGTCTCTAGCTCATCGTCGATAAGCGTTGGATCATTACCGCTGGCGCTGGCTTGGCCTCCAGAAGCTGTAGTTTGGGCAAGCTGCATCTTTCGCTCGTCTTTACCATTTCTCACAGCGTCGTCCGCCACCACAATTGGGTTTTCTTCACTGCCCTGCTGCGATTGTTGACCATGATGTGCTTGATTTGTCAGTCTTGCCACTTCCTCATTGCTGAGGCCGAGACTACGATTCAGCATATTGTTGGCAATGCCAGCGCTGAGCGAAGACCATAACCCGCTGAAACTTTGACCAACTTTGGCGCCGATATCAGTCAAGCTTTGGTTAGCCACATTTCCGAATATTCCTTTCTTGGTATATGGTAGGCCTTGTGGTTTTAATGTTACCATTGCAGGAGAGATAAGAGGTTCAAGTCGATAGCTAATGGGATCTGACGGATGGAAAATGTTGAAAATTTGTTTGGCTTTGGGTGAAGAAACAGACACGGGAAGATTTGTGACGGTCGAGATCTCCTCTGTGTTGCTACCACTCATGGGAGCAGTAGCTAAGAATGACTCGTCAGAGACCCGTGAGCTGAAGGCCTTCTCAGACGACGTAAGACCGGGAGATTTGCGGGCAGCAATGGTCCTACAGTGCACAGCCTTAGCCACAGAGAGCTCCCGAAAATAGGTAAAGGGCCAAACCGAAGTGATGACTTACCGGCCCTCAAGCATCTGGAACAACCCAATGGGCGACCCCAAGCAATAAAAATCTTCAACATCAAAGTTGAATGAGATGTCTTGATGTGCTTCTTTAGATCTTGAAGGTGAGTCGGTACGAGATTGCGTTGGCCAGGTACGTAATGAGTTTTTCCTCTCGTGTAGTGACTTTGATTCCCTCTGGCGACAGAGGATATCGAAAAGAATGGCTGAACCTAGCGAGTGACCCATGACATGGACTTTCCCTTTGAACTCTGGGTTTCTCTCTTTGAAAAGCCGGTAAATGCGATTGCATTCTTGAAGAACTATGCTCGTTATGTGTGATCGATAAGCGCTCTGATAAAGCAATACATCCAACGCTAAATCAGATATAAGTGATCGGGCAAATGCCATGCCCTCCACTGTAATATCCTCAAGGGAAGGATCTTGGGGAGGCCATTGTCAATTTAATCCGCAAACGCCATCAGGGTAAGGATATATCCGGCTTACATCTTTGATCATCGCTATCCATATCCCCAAGGTCATGCTCGCCTTGTTTTTGGCGTTCCTTTGGAAAGTCAAGGAGGTGTCTCCAACATACGGGAAGAACTTGTACTCGACAGTTGCCAGGACCGGAGCCGAGTTCAGTGTTCAACGCTTTCAAGTCGGCTGATTCAGCGTACACTGATTTAATTGTTTGCCGTAAAACATTAACATCATGGACGAAGTTGATACTCTCCATCCTAATCAGCCCGTTAGTAAACAATTAATTTTCTCAAAACTTGCGATTGTAACGTACCGGAGCCCGAGCTGTTGTCCAATTCCATGTGTAACAAGAATCAAGTGTTCAACTTCACGACTTTGCGACTCGCCTGCTTGAGTATGGTAGTCTTGCATATCTTGCTCCTCTTGTTGCTGCAATTTGTCTTCCTTTTCAGCCGAGCTTTTACCTTCATTCTCTAAAAGGGATGACAGCTGTCGCTGGAGTCTAGAGCTGCTGTCCTCGGCCCTAGTTGTTGAAGCTTGGCGCCGCCGTTGTGAGTTCAGCTGACTGGTATCTGACACTGAAGTTGTCGGAGGGGCAGACCGGCGTTTTATCAGCTTCTGCTGTTGTTCGTCCAGGCCAGGTATTCCTTCTGCGACTGTATACTCTCTTTTCTCATTCTTGTCCTTGTCTTGCTTCTTATTGGGTTCCGAGTAACCTCGAATTAACTTAATACCACTCATGTATCCACCGCCAGCAAACCTTTCGTAGACAGAAGATGTGACCCAGGAGAGCATCGTATCCGAAGCAAGCCATGCAGTCGTAGAATCCTCAAAAGTCACCGTGCTGTTCATGTATGGACCAAAAAGACGGTATGGCTCTGGCTGAGGGTTGGAGGAGGACGCTTGTGCTTGCTGCCCTGGTTGAGAACGGGACTCGCCAACGGATGAGGTGACAGCCTTCTCGGATGATTTTAAAACGTCTTGTGATGATTTTGGAGAGAGGCGTTTTGCCGCAGACTGGCTACGGGACCGCACTAGGTGGATTCAATCAGCTTCACGCCTTTGAGAATAAGAGTTGAGAGGTGATGGTACCTGGATTCCTCCACGGCTTGATTTTCAAATACCCCTTATCTCACGGGTCAGCGACTTTTCTTTAGTATTTTATTCAAATACTCACCTCCTCCAGCTGGGCTGCGAGATTTTCCTCGCACGGTCGTAAACTCGAGCCTTCTTGGAAGAACCATGTCCCTCGACGCACTTGGCAACTTTCAGTAATCACATTGCAGGGCTGTAATTTGGATAAAGGGTGAGGGCAGACCTTCATATATGTGACCAAGCCAGTATACAGGCTTTAACTCCCTCTGTTCGATATCTACATCGAAGAGGAAATCCTCATTGACCGGAACATGAGTATCTTCACGCGCATGGCGAGGCACTACCGGGTCCTTCTTCGCCGTGTGATCCACTGAGCTCGAGTGCCTTGCTCTCTTGGAAGGCAGGCGACCTCGGCGAGGAGGCTCAATTTCCTCGTCCTCGATGGCCTCTAGCAACTGCTGATATCTGGCTTCTATTGCCCTAGAATCCTGGATGGAGAAAGTCGAGAACTTCTTGGGCTGTGCCGGTGCTTTTGGGTCTACCTGTGGGTTTACTTTGTTCTTTACAAGCTGTGGCTTATGTTTCGGGACCTTGATCAGCCATTAGCGAGTTGATCAAATGACGGGGTGAACGGAAGAACGGACATCAACCGCATGGAACCATTGGACGCTGAGCGGCGGGCAATCATCAGGGTAATTCCTGAGGCTTAGGCCATATAAATGAGTTGTAGCATGGTCTCCAGGGTCGGAAGAAGCCTTGTTCGGCGGAGGCTCAACGGCATCCTCTTTTTTCAGAGTCGAGGCGGGGGACGAGGTTCGCTTCGCTGCCCAGGGGTTGATAGACTCTACAGCTGATGATAGATACGATTTTTCGGCCTTCTTATCCGCAAGACCTGGACCCATGTTGATAAAACGGCAAGAAGACCATCCGCCGCGAACGGAACGTCCACTGGCTAACCTGGTTGGAGAGTAGCCAATGTAGGTCAAGCTCCCGGGAGCTGACCGCTTGGTTCTGAGAAATAATGAGGCCAGTTTGAGGACTGCGTCACGGAATATTTGATCAACCAGCAGCAGGCCAGAGACAACAGGGGGGTGTGAGGGGTGTGTTTGGGGGGTCAAGGTTCAGCAGGATGGGCCGACGTTGCTAAGCTGAGTGAGCTTGGAGTTGAAATGGAGAGGGGCTGATACGCCTGGGAAAACAGCAAGTTTTGGCTCGTGCGGGCAATTGTATTGTTTTCTGGTCCGCCTGGTAGAATTAGACTGGAAAAACGGCATAGAAGAAGTAGATGGTATGCACTGCTTTGGCTGATGACGCTGAGCTTTACCTGACTGCAAGGTTTCGGGTACAAAAATAGCGTGTACATCATCGATCGAGCTCAGTATTAGGAGGCCCACTTGCCCGTTGCTCAAAACGATTCTCCTGGACATGTGGATACCTCTCAATCTATATAAGCAAGTTGTCTCTATCAGGTGCTCCAGGTTAGGGCAGGTCTGCGGACAACTCAGATATTAACAGTCCCATTTGCGAAAGGCCTCTTCTGTCTGTCTGTCTTTTAGCTCACATATGTCTTTCTTTCGCTCCCTTCCCCCGTAGAGGGAAGCCAAAGTGAGCAGCATCATCAAGCCTTTTGTTTCTTTCCACCTCCTCAGGGATGGATACTGAGAAAAGCTTCTAACAACTGTCGTAATTTTCGTCTCAAAACGCCGCCGGACATATCTGAAACCTCGGGTGAGGAATAAACGGGTTCGCATTTCTGCACAATGCGATCATCTAAAACAAACCATATTATCCCAAGAGCGCCGGCCGGTTAATCGACCTCGTCCTTATGTCGCTCTCCGCAGCTGGGCCATAAGAAAGCTATAGGTGTCTCCTGCGGTTGACAGGAAGGCTAAGTACCTAATTACAGATAGCGACATGAGCCTAAAAGTCTGCATCAATTTTGTATAACCCCAGCCATCACAGCTACTAGATGTGCACAACCAGTGCGGGCTACAAGAATAACCCAGATTCGAAGAACCCAGCCCAGGGCCCCTGAGCTTGCCGAGCGAGCTCGACCGCCGTGAGGCCGCGGCTGTCTCTCAACCCCCGGATGTCACCATCTGAGCCTACTGATAGCCGCCCCAGCCCGGCAGACTGGACAATCTGGCGTGAAGCCTCGGGGAAAGACTCGGTGTTAGCAGTGGAACAGAGCCACAAGAGGAGCATAGCAACTTCCTGCTGGCCCCTCTCTACTGCAAGATGTAGGGCGCTCTTCATCCCAGCGAGAGGGTCTTGGTAGCGCAACACAGATAGAACGCCGAGCTCCTCTTCATCGTCAGTCTCCGAGAGCGATGATAGCAGCTCAACAATGGCCTCGGGGTCTCCTTCACCGCACATGACATGGAAGGCTCTGGCAGGTTGGGTTTCTGGGTGACTTGCAAGGTATGCTTCCTCAGTAATGGACGGTAGGATATCAAGAGAAGGGTCTACGCCGCCCTCGTTTGTATACCGTGCTAGAATAGCCGTCCCAGCGGTAGGCAACAGCGGATTTGTAGACGATGGACCAGCCTCGTTTTCAGGCAGATATGTGCCACAGCATGGGCACTTGAGTGCCAAAGCCACTGTTTGTGCCTGATCGAGAAGACATGACCTGAGGAATTTAGTTGGCTTAGTTCATGGCAGCCTAGCGATTGGAGAATGTCGGTGGCCTTACCAGTGGAAATGGCAACCGCAGCGCAGCTCTAGGTCATCAGGAACTTGCATGTCGTTCTCATCGTCATCGCCGTCCAGTCGAAAGACTAACGCTTCGTTGCAAGTCTTGCATGCAGCCATGATGATATGATGCGCACGATGCTCTTAACTCCCTCACTTGTTGAAAGATTGGTTCAAAGAGAATCTTCAGCTCCCAACTAACTGCCTGGCCAGACTTCAGAACTTTGAAGTTTGTGATAATGATGTGGGGCCGATGCTGGATTACGGTTCCATTTTCGTATAATTTTTTTTCTTTCGGGCGGATACTGACCGGGTCGCTTGGAGCTAATACTATCACCAAGTGGCGGTAGACAACCAGGCAGAAGAACAAAACAGGTACGCATCTATGAAGGGCCAGCCAGTGGAGAGATGGATGCCCGACTAGCATTAGGTGCCCCGAATGCCAGTGTGAAGCAATTAGTGCCACATGTGTTTCCTGAACATTTATGCACATTTTGGCTAAGTAAAACCTCGTGTCTAGAATATTGAAGAGATCGCTTGTTTACCCACCCAGGTGTCTTACTGCCTAGAATGGGGAACGCTTGGCCATGGGATGGATTGGAAGCATTCGCGCCGTATTAGATGTGGCATTTGGCCATAGCCACAGAAGCACGTCAGTGATGACGCCGCGCCAGTGGCTGGTAGGTAAGGTAAGTAGCAGGGAAGTTAATGTAATGTACCTTTCATCATGAGCGGGCCCATCCATGCCTGGTGGGGGCGGGGGCTGGAGCTCATGGGTACGTGCCTGCTGTAGCAGGTACTTGGCTGCCACAGCAGGAGCCTAGGTACGTACGAGAGCTCGGGCGCTAAGCCTCTGGCTCGCAGCAGCCTAATTACAGGCTTTGGTGACCTCAATCAATCAGGCGGTAAGGTAGGGTACAGGTACCTTGCCTGCTAGGACCTACCTTGCCTCCGTCGTGCGCGCATGCATCGGCTGGTAGTGCCGTTAGCATTTCCCCTCCTACGTAATTCGTCCATCCGTCCTCTCGCCATCTGAAGACTTTCGGCCAACTTCTTCGAACCCCTCCTGGCCTTGTTGTCGCATTCATCAATCAGTTTGTTGCGCGCTTCCCTCAACCCTTCACTTGCCTTCACCCCAGGACTACCTGGGCTGAGCTCTGTAAAATGAATGTCCTCAAGCTGCAAAAGTTGGTTGACTCTGTTTTTATCTCTCGTCGTGAGCTCCGAGACTGACTGCATGCGCTTGGATAGAAAGTTCCCTCAATTCCAGCAAAACGAAATATTTTCGCTGTCCGATGCTTTCCAGCGTCTCGATGTCGACGACAAGGGCTACATCGACGAAGCCACAGCTATCAAATCAACACAACAGAGCGAGAATCAGCCGTATGATGTCGTCCGCCAGGCTCTGAAGGAGGTCGAACTGGACTCCTCTCGCCGTGTCGAGCTTGAAGACTACGTCGGCGTATGCGCGAATCCCCCATCGCATCTTTTCATATCATATTTTCGGATGTGCTAACTGGTAAGATAGCTCATTGCAAAGGTTCGAGGATCGTCGTCCAAACCAGCGGCCTCGGGAGCCTCTCGCCTTGCTGCACAGCCAAGCGGCGGCGTTGTCTCGCAGCGCACCGGGGGCGGGCATAGCTCCAGGGGCAGCATCAGCGGCAAGATTCAAGTTCAAGGCTCCAATGCCAACATCACTCACACCATCAACGAGGATGAGCGAACGGAGTTCACCCGTCACATCAATGCCGTGCTTGCCGGTGACCCGGATCTAGGCTCTCGCCTACCCTTCCCTACCGATACCTTCGAAATGTTCGATGATTGTAAGGATGGTCTGGTATTGGCCAAGCTGATCAACGACAGCGTTCCCGATACCATTGATGAGCGTGTTCTGAATATCCCCGGCAAGAAATTCAAGTCTCTCAATGCCTTCCACATGACCGAGAATAACAATATTGTGATTGAATCTGCCAAGGGTATTGGCTGCTCAGTCGTCAATATTGGTGCCGGCGACATTATCGAAGTTAGAGAGCACTTGATTCTGGGACTAATCTGGCAGATTATTCGCCGTGGTCTTCTAGGCAAGATTGATATTAAACTACACCCCGAGCTGTACAGGTTGCTGGAAGAAGATGAAACGCTGGAACAATTCCTCCGATTGCCTCCTGAGCAAATCCTCCTTCGCTGGTTCAACTATCATCTCAAGGCTGCCAATTGGCCCCGAAGGTTTGTACTATCCAAACCGCACAAAGTTGTCACTGGCGGCGGCTAACATCACACAGAGTTGCCAACTTCTCGGGAGATATCAAGGACGGCGAGAACTATGCTGTCCTTCTGGCGCAGATTGGATCCGACTATGGTGTGACACGCGCACCTCTCCAGACACGCGACCTTAACCAGCGGGCCGAGGAGGTTCTTCAGGAGTCAGACAAGTTGGGTTGCCGCAAGTTCCTTACCCCAAAATCTCTGGTTGCTGGAAACCCCAAGTTGAACCTCGCATTCGTTGCCAACCTCTTCAACAACCATCCAGCCCTAGACCCTATTACCGAGGAGGAGAAACTGGAAGTGGAGGACTTCGACGCTGAGGGTGAGCGTGAGGCCAGAGTTTTTACTCTGTGGCTCAACAGTTTGGATGTTCAACCAGCCGTTGTTTCCTTCTTTGATGATCTCAGAGATGGTTCGGTTCTCTTACAAGCATACGACAAGGTCATTCAGGGATCTGTTAACTGGCGTCATGTAAACAAGCGCCCTGCCCACGGTGGTGAGATCATGAGATTCAAGGCCGTCGAAAATACCAACTATGCTATTGAGCTGGGCAAGCAGAACGGATTCTCGCTCGTCGGCATCCAGGGAGCAGATATTACCGACGGACAAAGGACACTTACCCTGGGCCTAGTGTGGCAGCTCATGCGCAGGGATATCACTGTTACGCTATCCTCTCTCGCACAGAAACTCGGCAAAAGAGAGATCACAGATGCAGAAATGGTGAGGTGGGCCAACGACATGTCTAGAAAGGGTGGCCGGAGTTCTGCCATTCGATCATTCAAGGATCCAAGCATCGGCTCTGGTGTCTTCTTCCTTGATGTTTTGAACGGAATGAAGAGCAGTTATGTTGATTATGATCTCGTGACACCGGGCCAAACAGACGAGGATGCCTATCTCAATGCCAAGCTCAGCATCAGTATCGCCCGAAAGCTCGGTGCCACCATTTGGCTCGTCCCCGAGGACATTTGCCAGGTTCGCAGCCGCTTGGTTACTACTTTTATTGGTAAGTCGTCACATATTCCTCACATGAGAACCAAAGAGGTGACATCCTTTAACAACTTTTCCATTTTCTAGGTTCTCTGATGGCTACACATGAAAAGATGTAGGTATGTCTGCTTCCGGGTGCAAATAGTGAAGGTACAAGGGTTCAAAAGGAGTAAGCGGGAGGAGATGAATCAAAGCTGGAATGGTTGGGCTGTACTAGAATTTCTGAATCCCTATCAACAATGAAGTCATGATACACCAGTTCTCCCTCGCGAACAAAAGTTGGATGACTAACGTAAAGAATCCATCCACGCATCAAGCAAAGGACCCAGGGGATCATGCCAGTCAAGCATTCTAGCACACCGCTAGAAGTACCTACTCAATGTCCAAGGTAGGCAGCCAAGAATATTTAGTCAGTCTCTCAAATCAGCCCACACGTGCATCAACACGCTGTTGATTGATCAGTACAAGCACACAATAGCTGGTACCTAGGACAACGAGAGTATTAAGTTGGCAAATTTTGGGATGGTGGGCTCATCAAATGCTTGAGATGGTAGCATACAGTGTTCGAGATTGTGGTGCTACTGTGGTTTGTTGGAGGTTGGGCCTAACCTGCCTCGATTATGTCAGCAGGACAAACTCTGCCGTTTGCACGCTTTATCGCAATCTCCAATTTACCAGACATTCTTTCACCTCCCTTTTCAATCACTTGAGGAAAGCCAACGTCATCTTCTCATCCATCTTTTGACATCACCATCTTTTGAAGGATTGACACCCTAATCAACTTGAAAGCCATGTCTCGCGGCGGAACTACACTTTACGTGACCGGCTTCAGCCACGGCACCCGCGCTCGCGACCTCGCATACGAGTTCGAACGGTACGTCAACCACGTTCACGCCCACGCATACGCATGCGCCCACGCCCGCGCCCTCGCCCTCGCCCGCCCTACCCCCCGGTGAAGAAGCTGATCTTCCGTTGTCGTCCCCTCCTCGTCGTGTCTCCGCCGCCCTCGTCTGCGCCCTCCCTCGTCCGCGTCCTCGTACTCGTCCCAATCCAGATTATCTATCTCCCCAATACCCCCCCATCATCTGACTCCCGTTTCAATTCTTCCTCCTCCGATACCTTGCTGCGGCCCCCCTCCTGCGAACTTCTCCAGCTTAGTCCTTGACGACGGTTTCCTGGCGCACCGGACGCGCGGGGCGTTCCCAGCCCTTAAATGATGCTTCAGAGACTTTTCAATTCCGAAATTTCAATTTCTTTTGCTCCGTCTTTCTTGTACGCTGACAAAATCAATGGCATAGCTATGGACGACTGGTCCGCTGCGACATTCCTGCTCCTCGCTCTGCGTCTAGCAGACTGTATGTCTCCCCCCTGATATCTCTTGAGCTTGGAACGCTACTGACATGACGTCGAAAGCTTTGCGTTTGTGGAGTATGAAGACAAGCGGGATGCCGACGATGCCTACTATGAGATGCATAACAAGCGCATCGGGCGTGATGATATCCTAAAGATCGAGGTAGGTTTTCGGCTGTTTCATTTGTTCTTCGATTGACTGTCGAGCTCTTGATATTGATATCGCCTTTTTCTCTTTTAGTGGGCTCGCACTCCCCCCTCTGCTTCATGGCGCTTCGAGTCCGGTCGCGATCGTGACCGCCGCGGAGGTGGCCGATCTCCAGGACGCCGTGGGCGAACTCCTTCCCCCAGACGGAGCACCCGCGATTACTCTCCTCGTAAGGATGATCGTAGGGACCGTGACCGTGACTATGATCGTGATAGCCGACGGGATCGGGATCGCTCACGCAGCCCTGACACTCGGTACGCATCCCCCAACCCCGAGACTCGGGCTCTTGTCCCGTTAAAGTGACGCGTCTAACTGCCATTTCCAGTGACCGTGACCGTGATCTCAAGGATGATCGCGACGACCGTGACAGGCGAGAAAACGGCACCAATGGAGATGACCGGAAGGGAGACGGTATGTTGGCCAGTTAGCCTAAGGGATTCCAGTATAACTAACCTCTGATGCAGCTCCGGAAAGCCCTCCTCCCGCTCATGAGGAGTTGGACGCAGCTGAGTAAAACGATGCTACCGAATCCCCCAGCTGCGAGAGGTTCTCAGTAGCCATATTCCATGGGTGGCTGCTGGCTTTCTCTTTACATGGCATTCTCACAGTGTGCTTCTAACCTTAAGCTTTCATTTTATCTCGTGTTGTTTCTTAAGTTCTTGGTACGCATTTGTTCCTGCTACTACCGGTTGAACCAAATTGATGGCGTAGAGGATTTGCCCAGTCATGATCTCATTATTTGCTCCTGGCTGTTTCCACGAGGGCATAGTACTGCAAACATGTGCAAACAAGCACATGGAGTCGCAATTGTTTGTTCTCGTTGTTTTACTTATATAGGGCAGCCCCGCCAATGCAGATTTCCATCCTCTATCACTAAAAGTGGCTAGCTAGTTTGTCAAATTTTAATTCAAGACTTGATGTCTATGGTCTACGAATCGTCGTCCAGCTGCAAAATATGATGATATACTTTTTTTTTTGGACGCTTCAAAACACACAACCAAATGGCCGCTGCCTCGCAACCATCTCATAGCCAGCCAGAGAGTGACGTAGTTAGCCAGCTTCAAATGGGGACCTACGATGCTATCCATACTGATTTTAGTTTAGCGTTCCTGCCGCCCTTGTCCGTCCTTGTATGAAAGCAACAGAGGGCTTTGCTGGAGTTCTGTCAGAGCAATGATCAACTCAGTACCGAGATAAGAGCCGAAGAACGATCACTGCATGCGCATTTCACTCTTTAGTCTGCACAAGATGAGCGCGGGGAGTGAATGTGTTGCCCAAAGACGAGCTGCACTCAAGCGTTATGCATCAAACATCGGCCCATTCTGGTGCTTTTAATAAAGCAGCATTCTATGGGAGCCAGAACCCAGAAGAGTTCAAGCGGGATCTCCCGGTAAGATGGCTCGGGGATGATTGGCTGGGGAGCTTGGGGCCCCAAGATGGTCTTCGATCTGCTAGTCACAGGAACGGGGAAGGGGGGGGATGAAACAAGCTGAGCCTGAGCGTTGATGAAGGATACCTGGCAATTTATCATAGCCAACGGAGCTTCTCTCACTCCGTCCTTGCATTAGTGGTGGTCACATATTGTCCAGCTTGGATACGTTGACTATCCGGCATGCGCGTGCGGCTCTGCTAATACAGCAAGCTTCGAGGTCGCAGTTTCATCCCAAGTATTCGCGTAGAGGGGGTGGTAACGGTCGCCATTTCAGATTGACTGCGCATCTACCGTAGCAGCCAGCGTACGGCGTTCCGCTCCCCCATCGTTCCATCAAGACGACATCTCGGAGGTTGACGGGGGGTGGGGCGGCTGTAATCGCCACTATCGGGCCTCTAAGATTCCAGAATAACTTCCTACCCGGGATCGTGGTAGGCTCTGCCGGCGGGTGTTGGCGAGCGCAATTACGGGCCTGTGTTGAAATTATTGCCGCTCCTCCCCTCATCCTCCCATTTCTCTTGGCCCGGTCGCTCGGCATTTGTTTTTATCTTGTGTACAATAGTCTTATCCTCTTCGACCTTGTCCTTTGCAATTGATCCCGCGCCACGTCTACACGCCCATTGCGACCGGTGTCTGGCTACCTCTCCTTAGTGGTTGGCTGCTGCCCGGCTGTGAGCGTGGCAAGTGACCGACCCTCCCTGACCGACGACAGCCGGCTAGAGGCAATTCCAAGACCGCTCGTCATCTGCCTCAGCACACTCCGCTCACGCGACCAATCTTTTGATTTGTTCTCGTTGCAGCTTGGTCCTGGCCATCTCGCAGCGCCCTCTCGCCAGGAGCTTCTGGCTCAAGCATCCCTACCGAATTGCTGTTTGTCTAGCAGCCGCTAGTCATACAAATCCAGCACGTGTGTCCTGTCTGCTGTTTCGCTTTTCATGGCGACCTCGTGTGCCATTACCATCTTTAAACTAACCCTTGGTCTACTAGTCACGGTAGCGACAACCCGAAACTCTCCACTCTACATCGAATCGAATCAAACAAGCATGGCATTGCTTTCTGCAAGCCCATAGTCACTCCTTCGCGTTCTTCTTCCGGTACACTCGCTTCAATCCGCCCGAACGGCCGTCGCAACTCTACCTTTAGTCACAAAGAGATTGGGTTCTACTTTTAACTCGCCACTGAACCGGTTGCCCTCTCTGCCGTTCATCAATTCAGCGCGCGCTTAGAGCTACGATTTCGAGAGAGAGAGAAAAGAAGCACACGTTATGTCTGCCGTATGTCCATTCACTCCCACACAAGACGACAACAATAAGGCTAAAATTTCTTCACATAGTCCGAATCAGACGTGGTGAAGGCGGCCAGCCTGCCAAGCCCGGCCATGGTTCAGTTTCGCGACAATATATCTCAGCCTGTGGTCGCTGCGTTTTGCGCAGGGGGCGTGGCTGGTGCGGTTTCCCGAACAGTTGTCTCCCCCCTGGAGCGATTGAAGATCCTCATGCAGATCCAAAGTGTTGGGCGGGATGCATACAGGATGTCTGTTGGCCAGGCATTAAAGAAGATGTGGCAAGAGGAGGGTTGGAGAGGCTTCATGCGTGGTAATGGAACCAACTGCATCCGCATAGTCCCCTATTCCGCTGTCCAGTTCAGCAGTTACAACTTCTACAAAAGGGTACGTATCTACCAGTTTCCGTCGCCGCTGTGGCTCGAAGTGAGCTCCCACTAAACGGGGGCAGACCATATTCCAATCTCCAGATGGTGCTGATCTCGCGCCCCTGACTCGCCTTGTATGTGGTGGCATCGCTGGTATCACATCCGTCGTCTTCACATATCCTCTCGATATTGTCCGCACTAGACTATCGATCCACTCCGCCAGCTTCGCAGAACTCGGCAGCAGACCTCAACAGTTGCCTGGCATGTGGGCTACACTCACCCATATGTATAAGACCGAAGGCGGCATGTCTGCTCTCTATCGAGGCATGATTCCCACAATCGCTGGCGTCGCACCATACGTATGTGTTCCCAAACTGTTCATCACACTCCCGCCGTGTTGGTGATACTCATTTTGCCGAACCCCGGCTGGTCAACAAGAGCTAATAATAAGCAGGTTGGCTTAAATTTCATGGTTTATGAGTCAGCCCGGTCTCTTCTTACTCCCGAAGGAGAGAAGAACCCGAATGCAGTCAGAAAACTGCTGGCTGGTGCCATCTCCGGCGCTGTCGCTCAAACGTGCACATATCCCTTGTAAGTACCAGTGCGACGAGCAGCAGTGAAACGCAGATGAAAGCTAACTTAGCTGGTCTGCAGCGATGTCCTTCGCCGGCGCTTCCAAATCAACACAATGTCTGGATTAGGCTATCAGTACAAATCAATTTTCGACGCTGTTCGAGTTATCGTAAGCCAAGAAGGAATCAGGGGCTTATACAAGGGTATTGTTCCAAACCTTCTGAAAGTTGCTCCTAGCATGGCTTCAAGCTGGCTCAGCTTTGAGATGACACGCGACTTTCTACTCGGATTGAAGCCGGAAGAGGACAACCCAGGTTCTCTGTAATAGAAAACTCCATGGTATTAGTTGGCGAATAAGGGCGCAATGGGTGATAGAGATATATTGCAGGTACACCGATTGGCCATCTATTGTACCAGCAATGTGATCGGATGTCTTTCCAACAAAGGAAAAATACAGCCGTATAGAAACGGCATAGACGAACAATGAGGTCGCCAGAGGGCAGAGTGGCTCACTGGTCATGCTTCTTTGGAATCGGCAGTCTTCGGAGGTCCATCAGGGTCTACCTGCTCCTGGCGAGTTTCCTGCGTCCGATTCCACTTCAGGATAGAAAATGTAGTCTTCACTAGGTCTTTCATATTTAATACCCACGTTGTAATTGTTACACTGTGTAATTGATGGCCTGCACAGCGCTATTGGGAAGGCATCTTTTTATGAACTCAATCTGCCTGGATTCTGGGCGGGGGAACATTCGTCAAGACCTCAGAACAGCTGGAGTGGACTGAAGTGTCTCCCCCTTATCTTATCAGTCAATCTTGGTCTTTCGGATGTCATGTTCTGAAGACCCAGTCAAGGTATTGGGATTATATAAGCAAGCCACAAAGCACACAGCGTGAGCAAATTAGCCCTAAATGCCCAGGCTTACCGCCCCAGGCCCGCTCCACAAAGGAATTGGAACGATTTCTTGTTCCACTTTTCTTGTTAGTCGGATGTGGGTGATGCCCTGAAATTTCTTCGTGCTTTTTGAATTGAAGCCTCGTTGCACACCACCACTCCAGCCCATCGCCAACTTCGCCAGCGACAACCGACACAATGGGTACGTGAACCGTCTTTTCATCAGCCTGCCGTATGCGAGTGGGAATCTAGAGAGCACCTGAATAAGGTCTTTCTTGATTCCTGCGCCATGGCGCCGTCCGTGGAGAGAAACATCTCCCCACGAGACCTGAGCTGCCTATGTTGAGCATATATTGAACCCAATGGCTGACGGTTATATTCACCCTACAGGTATCGATCTCAACCGCCACCACGTTAAGGGCACTCACCGCCAGGCCCCCAAGAGCGACAATGTCTACCTCAAGCTCCTGGTGAAGCTCTACCGCTTCCTGTCTCGTAAGTCGATCTCCAATCCCAGCCATCAAATGAAGGTTGTGCATGACAAGCAATCGGGTTCGAAACATGCGAAATATTGGGGGGACTCGCTAACCGTGGCAACGCGATGAATTGCAGGCCGTACCGACTCGAGCTTCAACAAGGTCATTCTTCGACGTCTGTTCATGTCCAAGATTAACCGCCCTCCCGTCTCTCTGTCCCGCATCGTTGCCAACACTGCCAAGGAGGAGAAGCGCACCGTCGTTGTTGTCGGCACCATCACTGACGACAACCGTCTCCTCACCGTCCCCAAGCTGACCGTCGCCGCCCTGCGATTCACCGCCACTGCCCGTGCTCGCATCATTGCCGCCGGTGGTGAGGCCATCACCCTGGACCAGCTCGCTCTCCGTGCCCCCACTGGTGCCAACACCCTGACCCTCCGTGGTCCCAAGAACGCCCGTGAGGCCGTCAAGCACTTTGGCATGGGTCCCCACAAGAACAAGGTAGGCTCTTCTTTCCACCGGGAACCCTCGTTGGCCTGCGTTGTTTTGCTTTTGTATTGCTATAATACTCACATTTTCTTCAGAAACCCTACGTTGAGTCCAAGGGTCGCAAGTTCGAGCGTGCTCGTGGTCGCAGACGATCTCGTGGTTTCAAGGTCTAAGGAATGGACCTTGATGGAAAAAGGACTGCTTGGGGCTAGCTTCGTCTTGGGAACTGATAGCGTCATGATCATAGTACCAAGTAGTCGTGCAATCGGTAAAATCAGGCTTTGGAACTGGAGTAACTCGGTATTGAAAAATTCAGAAATTTTACTTTCACGTCAATTGACTGATACTTGACTTGGTTGCTTTTCGATCCATGTGCCCATGTTATATACGTGAGTTGAGTCTAAATCTTTGGAGACATATATATTACTTGACCACTCTATTCCCTTTTCTCTGCAACCCGATTAGGTATACCTCCCTACTTTCCTATTTCGTGTAAGCTCGGGTGAAAGGGGCCAGAATCGAGTATGGTAACTCACGCTTCTTGATGATTTTGGCTTGACTCTGTGAACCTTGCAAAAGAGCAGTCGGACCCTTTGCTCGAAATCTTGGTCTCCTCGCCCTACGTAAACTTTGCAGACAAAGTGCCCACCGGGTTTCAGAGTGTCACTTGCAAAATCGAGGGCGGCATTGCAAAGATCCTGATTTGGCGATTCTCCGTCAGTTATCAACAAGCTTGTTTGCTGTATGGCTCTGATTGTTCTATCAAAGCACTCAATGAAGGAACCCACCAGACTACGAGCATGGTCATGAAAAGGGATGCCACTCGTGTTCATTAACCTATGATATGGATTACTCAAGGTGTTCACATTATAACCAGATGTTTGTTGCCAGGGTGCTGACATGTCGCTCAGAACCACCTTGAATACAGTTAGCGAGCAGTCGAGCAGTATTTGGTCTGGGGCAGCACCCGAGAAGTAACATACATCAACCATGTTCATCGATTCCTGTCCATGGTGTAATTTTCCTTGTCCCTCGGTTTCAACATGGCTGGCTTGCCGCTCCATGTCGATGTAGCTCTGGGGCTCAAGGTCATGCTGCCTAGCTTCTTCTAGCGGCTGCTCGTCCTCTTTCTTCATCTTCTTCTTTTTTTCAGACTCGGCGACTGTCTGGGACTCTTCGGGTACTCCGTCCTTCTTGCTCTTCTCGGCTTTAGGCTTGGACTTGAGGCGGGACAGTTCTCGCCGATTTTGCATTTCAAGGATGCAGTCTTTGACGAGTTTCTGTACCATAGGGGAGAGAAAGTCCCCTTGGAATGTGGTCACACCTTTAGGAGGCTGTGCGGGGAGAAGATCAATCCCAACTATTAAACCATCCGGCTTGGTGAGTTCTAATGCAACCTGTGACCAGCTGCCTGGCGCGAATCCCTATAAATGAAACGGACTGTCAGACATGGACTTGTGTCAGGGCCTCTTGTCTAGTTTCATCAGCTTGCCAGGTCTACCACGGTTTGCCCGCGCTTGAAAATCTTGTGGCCTGCGCATATCTATTGGTGAGGACAAGTAAAGTTATGTTAGCCGGGCTCTCGGTGGACTTTTGGGGATTCTCGGTGGTTTCCATGGGCAAGCAAGACTTGCCTCCAGGAGTTTAAACGCAGCTCTACTTTTCAGTCCTTGCAACCGAGCATCTCTTGCATATGGGTCGCGCCCTTGTCTTTGCTTCCATCTTGAATTGGACGATGAAGAGGATTGACGCTGAAATTGATGTGTGCGAGTTGAGGAACCCTGAATCGCAAAGCAACGCCATGCTACTGTAGACGGGTTTATTCTCCTTGGGAAGGCTGTGAGCACCTTCATTTCCTCACTTTAATAGAATTCGTAGTGCTTGGATGAAAAAGAGAATATATGAAAATCAAATCTCAACCGCACTCCACTTATAGTACCAATAACCTGAGCTACCCTAGACATACTCGGATCCCCCATCTCGGTCCATCATGTTCGATAACGACACTTAGCGGTATTGTTGTTGGGTTATTGTGGTGACAAATGAATTCTTTGGTTGTTGGTTAACTTACGTACAAACTGAACATTTAGATATATGTATTACGCTGAGCCCTGAAATTGCGTTTCTCTCGAGGTTGTCAACCTCCGTGACACAAATGATGTTGCCCTTGTAATGTTGATAAACATGATCAATTCATGACATAAAGTATGCCAATGCGATGCTGAACATAAACCTCACAGACCGAGTACCTAAACAAACCGAACCTGAAATCCCAAAGCCAATAATCCAACCAGTAAAGGCCAAACGCCGCCATATCCTGTACTCCAACCTCAGCCTAAATCGTGATACATCACATTTAGTATCCCATTATGCCAAAAAGCTGGCGTGGACACCTCGCTTGTCTCGCTTGAGAGGCGAAAAGCTACTGCCAGCAAACGCGTTCTTGACCCCGCCCAGCGGAGCCCGCTTGCGAACTTGGCCATGTTGAACCTTCTGCGTGGGTCGTGCTACAGCCTCGGCCTCGCCATCGTCTTCCATAATTGTCCCATTGCCAGCTCCGAGGAGCTTCCGCTTTCTCTTCTTGGCTTCACCCATTGTGGATGTGACGCGAGCGGCCTCCTGAATCTTTGACAGTGGCCGAGACTTGATGCCTAATGATTTAGATTTGACGGATACCATGTTCTCTTGGTTGTCCACGAATGGAACTACCACAGGCGGAGCGTCACTGGCCTCGGTGTCTTGCTCAATAACTGGAGCTAGGTTCTTTCTTGATGGAGCAGCTTCGCCCAGCGGCTTCGCCCTCGGTCGGCCCCTGGGCTTTCGCGTCTCGGAAGATGCAGAGATATTTGCTGCAAGCTTGGGTCCTGGGGCGTCGACCGGGTCTGCGTCTTCCAGTACATCGTTGTCTGTAGGGCCAGACGCTTTCTCGACTTGTATCTCGGCTACCAGGGGGGTAGGTTGTTCGTGTACCGGGCATACAGTTTCATCGGCAAGAAGTGACTCTTCTGATCCATCCTTGCTTCGATTTAAAAAGGGCGTAATGGAAAATGTTGACTTCTCGACCATCGTGGTCTTCTCGGCACCCCGCTTCTTTGCCTGTCGCTTCTCCAGGGCATTTTCATTTCCGGGTGTCTGGATCGTGATCTCTCCCAGACTCGACTCTTCAACCCTGCGCTTCCGGTTCAGCTGAGCATTTGAAGCTGTGGCCTTGGATAACTTTTCCCGAGAGACCTGGGACTTGGCTAAAGCGGTCTGGCATCGGTCAAGCTCGAGCTTTGTTTCCTTCAATTCTGTCTGAACCCCCTTAAGTTTCAATTTCATTGTTGATATACGCTCTTCAAGTCGTTCTTGTAGACCACGCGCTTCTGCTAGCTCACTCTCATGTTGTCGCTTCAGTTTTCCTTGGCCCTCCTTCTCTGCGAGTAGTCGTTTTTCAGCTTCCTCTGCTCTTGAGCGAAGTTCATCTGTCATGGATTTGGCCTCTCGGTCTTGCGTCTTCTTTCGTGCGCGTTTCTCTTGTTCGAGCTCCACCTCCAGACTGTCAAGCTGGCGTTGTAAATCGTGTTTTTCAGCGACAACAGACTGATGATGAGCGAGTTGTGATTGGAGATGGTCTAGCTCTGGCCGAATGCGATCCAGCTCCCTTGAAAGAGCAAGTTTTTCCTGCAACAATTTGGTTGAGTCTTGGACCGAACTACCGAGAGAGTCGATTTCAGCCTGGAATTTGCTATCGTCAACAAAGGATCCTGCGGCTCTAAAAGTACTCCCCTCACCTTGAGATTGCCAATTTCCGTAGCCTGCTTCTTGATCTTAGCCTCCTGGGCACGAGTCTTTTCCTGGCCGTTGCCTAGATTGCCCGAGAGTCGGTTGTATTGGCGCGTAAGCCTTTGGGTTTGCGAATCCTTCTGCGCTAGCTGGTCTCTGAGGACGGCATTCTCATCTCGCACAGCAAGAAGGCGCAGCTTGAGGCGACGAAACTCTTCATCGCGATGGACAAGATCGGTCTGGTGAAGGTTGTTTTGATGTGATAAATTGAGATCGTGAAGGCGAGTGACTCGCTGTATTTGTGAGCCAATATGTTCAATTTAGCCAGCCATTTCAGTGAGCGCCCAACTAACCTGGACGGGACTTTCGGCCATGATGAAGATGCAACCTCCCTAGGAAGAGTATAGGACAATGCCCAGGTAGACTGAGTAGCAGAAACACTGCTCACTGTCTCAATTTCGCGTGCAGTGTGGTGATTTATGGACGATCGGAATGTTAAGAAGTGAACCGAACTGCGTCGGGTGCAGGCCCTCCCGAAGTGTTCTGCCGCGTTTGCTCTGCTGCGAAGCCGTGAATGATATATCTCTGTGTTTAGAAGATCATTAGAAGTTGCAGAGGTCGAAGAACGTGCCCTTGTTTTGTGACTGTGTAAACATACTCCTACTTTGGGACTAGCGGGCATTATGCCGTCTTTACGTAAGCGCTCATGACTCCGGAGCTGACTAACCCCCTTACGTACCTCTTTAGGGAAGGAACACGTTTATGGCAAGCTCCCCAGCAAGCAGTTGAACTTCCACGCTCGTTTGACACAATACACGACCTTCTCGACAACCAATTCATAGGAGGGTGACGGTGATAATGAGGCTGCTTTCGTCCTTGCTATCGGCGAGCCTGCTACTTGCCGGCTCGTTTGCGGCCAAAAAGACTCCCACCAGCCGATTCGACGAGTTCCACGCCAAGTCTTTAAGCTCCTCGCCAGTGAAGCTCGCCACTTCTAGCTACGGATCATGGACGACTGCACCGCGGGACTACAGTGCGGCAGTGCTGCTGACTGCCATGGACGCACGCTTTGGTTGCCAACTCTGCCAATCCTTCCAACCCGAATTCGATATTCTCGCCAAGAGCTGGGTTAAAGGAGACAAGGCGGGCAAGTCTCGAACGCTTTTTGGTGTCCTTGACTTCGCTGACGGCAGAGATATCTTTGTTTCGGTAAAAACGAACCTCCCAAGTGAATTGGACCGAGGACATGAACGCTGACATGCTTGATAGCTTGGTCTACAAACTGCTCCGGTCCTTCTCTTCTTTCCTCCCACCGAGGGTCCTCATGCTGTCGCTTCGCCTGACCCAATTCGATATGACTTCACAGCTGGGTTAGATCGCAGATTTCCGCAATTATAGAATTCAGCTAATTTTCCTCAGTCCCCCCAGCGCGGAGCACGTACAAGCTTGGCTGGCACGACAACTTCCCGACCGCCCTCATCCCCCGATCAAGCGCCCTATCAATTGGACAGCATGGGTCATGGGTGTTGGTATTTTTGCTGGTGGAATTAGTCTGTTGGTGACAGCGTCGCCATACCTCTTGCCAATTGTCCAGAGCCGTAATGTCTGGGCTTCTATCAGCCTGATTTTGATTCTAGTATTCACTAGTGGCCACATGTTTAATCACATCCGCAAGGTTCCTTACATTGCTGGGGATGGAAAGGGCGGCATCAGCTACTTTGCAGGAAGCTTCCAAAGTCAGTTTGGGATGGAGACGCAGATCATTGCTGCGATCTGTAAGTTCTTGCTCCATTGTTCCTCTCATCATATAGGATACTAACATGTTCGACAGACGGGACCCTTGCCTTCTGTGCTATTTCCTTGGCGGTCAAGGTCCCCCGGATTGCTGATTATCGTACTCAGCAGGTAGCAGTTCTTGCTTGGGGAGGTGTGCTATTCATTCTTTATAGCTTTTTGCTCAGCATCTTCCGTATCAAGAATGGCGGCTACCCCTTCTCCCTCCCCCCCTTCATGTAGATTAGTACATGCGGCAAGCTTGACAGCTTCGCCCACGTTTATCTATATCAATCTACCGCGAGGGGAGCGCAGCGGGCGAAAGAGACATAGGGCAGGCGAGATGAGAATGCCTGCCCATCGATAGCGCGTCTCTGGTATCAACTCATGAAGCTTGCCTGATTTGACCAGTGAGGTGGAACCATCTGCGATCATGTATATATTAGTTCTTTGGTCACGCTACCGTGATTGGAATCGAGTTGCTGGACAGGTCAGCGACGAAAGAGATAGAAGTCAAAATTTTCCCTGGTAGTTCGATGAGCCGAATTGGTGCCAGTGATTAATAGCGTGAAAGGGCGTGACGTGGGAGGGAATTCATGTCTGCAGATTTGAGCCCTGGGATGGGCGACTATGCGATGGTTGCCCGTGGATTAAGTTGCTTTTAAGGGTGGTGGTAGTAGGTCGGGGACGATCACACTACAGTTTTTTGAAAGTTGTCATTCAGAAAGAGTACTTTGAGGACAAATGAAATTTTTGAAACCTGTACGAGTTCCCGTTGGAAGAAGAAACAACACGATGTCCTGTGCCTTCGAAGGCTTCCAATAGCCTGCAAATGCTTCATGTTCTCATCAGATTGATGTACCTTCCCCCATGCCCGTGCTTCAATAATGACCAAACGAGGAAGCCAGCCGATTGACGCCCCACCATGATCTACTGCTGCCTCTCCACGACAGCTTTTTACATGTCGCTTCCAGTCTCCTTCCTTCACAACCTTTATTTGCTTTACCCTACCTAGAGCATTTATGCCCTGGACATGACACCCCAAGCACGGATGATGTTGTCGGTGTAACCGGCGAACAGGGTCTGGCCATCAGCAGACCAGGCCAGAGAAACACACTCGGGCTCCCGGCTCTTCTTGTTGCCAGTAGAGGTGGAGGCGAACTCGGGCTTAAGCTCATCAACCCTGGACTTCTTCTCAAGATCGAAGATGATGATGCTGCTGGAGGTAGCAGCGCAGAGCCAGTAGCGGTTGGGGGAGAAGACGAGGGCGTGGATCTCGTCGTTGGCGTTCAGGGAGTAGAGGTGCTTGGACTCGTTGAGGTCCCAGAGCATGGTGGTACCGTCCTTGCCACCGGAGGCGCAGAGAGAGCCGTCGGGTGAGATGGTGACGGTGTTGATGTAGCCAGTGTGGCCAATGTGGTCAGTCTGGATCTTGCAGGTGCTGAGCTCCCATACCTGTGAACATGGTTAATTTCTGACACATACAACTCTTCACCGAGATGTGGTGTGTAAAGAGAACGAAGAGGAATAAAAAAACCAAGCGTTGGTAACAGAAATCAGGGCAATTGGTGAATGATTGTCTCATGGCCTGCCAAACAGGCTCTGAAGTAGCAAATACTTTAATTTTGCAATACATCATTTGATAGTACGCTGGAGGAGAAATTCGAAAGAAATAGTAATCTCACCTTGACGAGCTTGTCCCAGCCGGAGGAGACAATGACGGGGTTCTGGGGGTTAGGGCTGAAGCGGACGCAAGAAACCCACTCAGTGTGGCCGTTGTCGGTGATGGTGTACTTGCAGTCTCCGAGGGTGTTCCAGAGCTTGATAGAGTTATCGCGGGATCCGGAGACGATCTGTCGGTTGTCGGCAGAGAAAGAGACGGAAAGAACGTCCTTGTTGTGGCCAACGAATCGGCGGGTGGTGGTACCGGTGGCGAGCTCCCAGAGACGCAGAGTCTTGTCCCAAGAGGCAGACAGAGCGTAGGCGCCGTCGGAGGAGATGACCTGCATTGCATTTCCTAACATCAGCCCACGATCACATTTGATACTGGATGCTCATCGCAGATTTCAGGTTCAAGACATACGCAGTCAGAGACGATGTGAGAGTGACCCTTGAGGGATCGCTTGGGGTAACCGTATTGGGTCTCGTCACGGGTAAGATTCCAGATGATCAGAGTCTTGTCTCGGCTGGCGGAGAGCAGCATGTTGGGGCTGAAAGGCGTTGGTTAGAATCGGGGTCTGCAAGGACATCGGCTCGGTCTTGGGTAGTAACCTACTTCTCCATGGAGGTAGCCAGGCTGGTGACCCAGCCATTCTACAGGATGCGTTAGCACTTGAAGATATATGTGGCCAAGGGTCAACGGGCCCAAGATATGCCGGGCACAGGGCCTGGAGTTGGATCTCAAAATGCAACTCGCAGCGTCGAATGCAGACAGACCTGTTTCGAGGGAATGGGAGTGTTGGGAATAACTTACGTGGCCCTCGAGAGTGCCCTTGAGGATCAATTGTTCGGCCATTGTGACAAAGCTGAGAAGAGCGATGCAGAGGTATCAAAAGGTTGCGTCGTCGGTCGTCCAGGGAGGGGAGGAGAAGGGAGAATTTTGAGCTCTACAACGAAGTCCAGGATTAGAGGGTCTCTCGGATTCGGCCCAGCTCCCTGGCCGATTGGGATTTGGGTGGAATTTTTTTTGTGTGGGCAAAAAATTAGGGCCACCGCATCCTGAGCCTCACCACTGGAGGGGCAGCGCCACAGAGAGGTACCTCATAGCCCTGGTAGGTACAACCTCCCACTCTAGCGGCCTGTGCAAGGTACTTCCCTCACACAGGCCCTATAACACTTTCATGCATGCTCCAACCAGGGCTAGTGCGAGCCGTGGCCCTGCCTGAGGTCAGGTCGAACTGATCCACGGCCAATTAGTGGACGTGCATAGCGATTCATGAACACTCTTGATATTGTACTCTAAAGTTCTATCAGAGCAGTCGATGCCTCCGGTGATGAGGGAGAGACAATACACGACCAATAGCTATTCTCGCTGATCTCGATTCTCAATTAAAGAAAGCCCCAGTGCCTACCTACGCGCACCAGGGGGGTTTCACAGCACCATCTTGCGGCTACACTGGCAGCCGAGATAGCTGCTATAAGGGTTGCTCCTGCCAAACAATCTAGCCATCTTTTGCTATCCTCCTCCAGAAAATCATTTTCATTCGAACATAATAATAAGCCTCTAAGATGATGCTCTAATTATGCTAGCAGCCTTATAATCCAAGATATTTTAACTAGCAAGATATGCTAGGCCACAGCATTTACTTGCGGCGATCTCTAAATACACCTATGCTGCAAAAAGGCCCTGACGCGCGTAGGTACATACTAGAGGCTGAACGTAGGATCCTATTGTTGCCCGTTGATGTTGGCTGCGTGAAGGATGGGACACCCATGCTCTCAAGATGCCAAAGCCATAGACAATGGCTGTTGCTTTTGGCCACAATATCTATTGTAGTGAATATGAAGCCATGCCGATGGAGACATATACAGGATACCTGTCAATAGCATGGGGCCCGGGATTTTGACTACCAGTGTTGCTGCGATAACGCATAAGGTACAAAGGTAGGTCAATCATTAACGTCAGGTGCGCTGTATATTATTTTCAATCCGGGGCATCTTCTCTATTGCGGCTCTGCCTGCGAAAGCCCCGAATGCTATCAAACCCCTTCCTTCTAGGTATACATCCTATGAGGATCTAATCTCTCTAGACTACCTACCTAAGGTAGATTGTGTTCTCAAAATCAGCGAAACGAAACCCCAGAACTCCAGACCATTGGTCCATATGCAGCGCTCTTGTAGCATCCTATAGCAAAAGGGCAAGCAGACATGCAAACCCCTCTATAGTCTCTCTAATTAATATAAACGGCTTTACGTGCTTTGGTGAACGCCCGTATTCTTCGCCGCCAGATTGGATCGCTTCCCTAGCCGCGTGACGTCTTTTCTTGAGAAAGCTGAGTCGCTGTTGACAATCATGCTGTGGTCCGCAATTTCGCCAGCATCCGTACGCTCTCCATTGCCTTCACCAGTCATAAAGCGTCTCATTGTAGATTCCCAAAGGCGAAAGCGCTCCTTTCCATAGCAATCCCGTTCTACCAGTGACTTGACTTCTTTCTGCTTCCGCATCTTGGATGCTCGAACCAACCCTCTCAAAGCCTCCTCTCCTTGCTGGGCTGTTCTGGCCACCTGCTCTCGGATTTTCTTCGAGTCGCGGACGTTGATATCATCCTGCGGCGTGAACTTGTAGGTGTGCTTGCTCGGAAACTCGGGAAATGACTTTGGAATGTATGGTCGCTCGTGGCGATCGGGCTTTCCACTTAACTCTTCATCAAGTAAGGGCAGTGTTGTATAGGGGCCATCGTCCAAGGTGATAAGTTCGCCATAAGTAGGATTTAGGTCCTGTTTGACCATCGGATGTTTAATATGTGGTCTGAGGGAAGATGTGGATATATTGTAGCGTTTGAGGGTTATTTGAAAATCCATTGGGGTGGGATGATCGCGTCTTGAGGACAAGGCTAGCTCTTTCGATGTGTTGATGAGTGATTCAAGGTCTACAGGAGTGGTCAGTGTCAAGAGCCATCAAATAGGCCGCCGGGGAGATGATACACACAAGTTTCTACAAGCTGCGTGAAGCTCTCAAGAGACTCCGGCGTGGCAGAATCGAACCCATCATGTTGAAGAACCCTGGCTATGGATTGCTGGAGGGCAAGTCTCGATTGGGAGTGAAGACTGGGCGTAGCTGATACATATGAAGCTTGTTCTGTTACGGCTGGAGACACAGGGTCTATGCTAGACGGGGTGATGCTGGCTATTCTCTCATCTTCGCCGGAAGGAGATGGTTTGATTTCGGGCTCAGCTGTTCGAGAGCGCTTCGTTTCTGGGTTCTCGCCTTCAGATGAAAGGCTGCGCTTTGGAGATGCCATCGTAGTTAATCGAATGTTGTAGTAGTGAACGCGCCAAGCGACCTGGACTGGTGGCGATTGAACTTGAAGAAATGATCGCAGGATACTTGCGAAAACAGGGCACTGCTCATCGGGATCAAGAGAGGTTGGCGAGCTTGATTTGCCTGACGTTATTCTCTTCACGTCTGGGTACAGCTTGGTGATCAACACGCGCTAAAGATGGATGACTAAGCGGCCAATGACTTTCAGCACCTAGGTAGGGAACTTCAGAGTGCTCAGAAATGCTTTGATATTGCGCCCAAGTTAAATATATGCTCCTTTCTGATACCAGGTAATCATATTCCCCAGGAGTATGAGATCAGCGGCTCCCTCTTTGAATGCTCTGAAGCTGGTAGATTGGGCGTTTGCTGTCTGGTGCGACCTGCGTGGGGAAGTGTTGCTGCATGTGATTGACAGGGTTCAATGCGAGGTTGCTGAAACATCTCGGGCGATTGAACGAGAATCCCCGAAACCTCTTCGGTTCCGTTTTGGCGGCAGCTGCCGACCTACCTTGGTAGGTAGGCAAGTAGGTAGGCAATTACGTCCTTGTAGGCATCTTTCTATTTTGGATTCAGAGTTGCGTTTTAGTGCCGCTTCCGTTGGTGACCAGTGAAAAGACAAGAACGATGATGATGATATATAGGCATGGCTATCGTTTCATGCGCTCGAATGCTTCCGGCTCAGATTCGAGGGCCAGCTACCTTATGTAATGGGACGCTCGTAACTCGGCCTACGTGCAACTCACGCAACGCATACATATGGCGATTAATAATCGATACTAATGTGCGGCTTTCTCGATGCATACTGCCTGATGTATCCATCCATGCTGGGGCCTGGCTGAGTGCATGCATGTGCACGCAGACGGCGGGACATGTTCTGTTGGTTTACACGAACATGAAAATTTCTATCCCTCACGCAGTCAGATGCAGGTGGCATCATGGCAGCTTACCGCCTAGGTTATCCGCTTTTACGTCGACGTAGGATGTACATCTGCCCTCAATTGCACGCACGCACGCACGCACGCACGCAGCCAGGCCATCGTGCGTCTTGTCGGAGTTTCCGAAGGCACTTGAAGGCGAATGAATGGCCTGCCTCGGGTAGGTCGGTTTGAGGTGCAGGCCTACCAATCCGGGTGGCGCTGGTAATTACCTCTACTATTAAGATGATGTTGGTTCAAGCTGTCTTTGCGCCCCAACATACTGCACAGGACTGTAGCCTACCTGTATGCGGGTGCCTGAGGAAGGTGTGCCTTTGCCTCTGCTCCTCCTTCTTTCGGTCCCCCGCTTGCTGCTACCCGCCCACCGCCCTACTTCATTTCGAGCATTTCTCCGCCCATCGCCTCCACCCTCAACCCCTCAAACTCAAAAAATACCTATCGTGGTCAGACGGGCTGGCACGGAAACGCAATGCTCCCGATGTGCATGTCTAGCAGGCTGTTCGCTGTCCCTCCAGGCCCAGGCCGGCCATGCCGTGTGATATCTGTTGCACTTCGTCGTAGCCGCTGATGTACCTGCCTACATCAGGTAGCCAATCCAAGGGAAGCAGGGCAGGTAGCTACCTAGGTAATGTACCTACGTAGGCGGACGCATCTGTGTCTAACACCCGACCCTGCTTGATGGACCGCAGGTACTGGGCAGGTACCTGGGCAGGCTCGTGGGTGGTGGTGGTGTTGCCAGCGATAACCGCACAGGCGAGTGATTGGCGCCCGGGCGGGAGGGGTTGCAGGGAGGTACCGCCAATTCTTCCACGGGCTCGAGGTACCTCTCGGAGTCCTGCATCCCGCTACCTTTCCCACACGCCCTACCTGCCAATACCTGAGGTACCTAAACAGTCCCGGATTGCTGTCCACGCAATAGCACTTGGGCCCAGTGATTAATATTCAATTCGAGAGTGGCTTTTTTGCATCGGCGGTTTTTTATACACCCTCTGTCCGGCGGTCCTTATCTTGATTTGTTTGCTGTTTGGTAGCATTATTCACTTGTTCTTCCCTTGCGAGCATCCGAGCCTTTGATTTCCTTCCCACGCGCTCTTTATCCCAGCCAGCTATCTCATTCGGCCACTTTGCCGTCTCAGCGGGCAGGTTCCCCCTTGCCGAGCATATTCGCCGCCGACTTGAGCGGTTTGGAACCTGCGGCTGGCAGCTCTCGGCTCGCCTCCACCTGGAGACTGCCTGGGGACTTGCCTCGTCTATCTGGATAGACAAGGAGTCAATTCACCTTGACCTCGCTGTGAGCCCGTCTGTGAATCTACAACCAGCGAGGCCCTCTTAGAAACAATCATGTTTAACAAAGAGCGAGCCCGCTGCTGACAAAAACCCTCCCACCCGGTCACCGGTCCTATTGATCGCATCACTTTACGACTTTTATGAAATTTTTTTTGGGCATTGCCATTTAGGTCAAGGCATTTCTTCGAAGCTATTCTTCAATTCCCCGGCTCGGCTCCGGGCATTCCATCACAGTCTATCCGCCGTGATAGCTGGGCGTGATAATTCCATAATGTTTCTCTTCGATGCTTCGGCCTTGCCGCAGCTCACTACTCGCAAAGCATTCATCGGAGTTGACTTCCAGCATGACTTCTGCGACCCGGATGGCGTTTTCGCCGCGACCGAGCCTGAAGGGTTCGTCGATCGGGCAGTACAACTTGCCACTGCCATCCGCGCATCTGGTGACATTGTGTGGGTTAGGACGAAGCCCGATGGTCGCAGGTCGCCAGATGCTGAGCAAATAATTGTTTCTGATGATCCTCTGGCTGGCATATCCATGCCATGGAGAACGCGGCGTGGGGCACGGGTTCCTATCCAAGATTCTGGGGTCAACGACGACACACCAACAGAGCCCGACGCAGAGGCATTTCTGAGCCAAAGCGAACCCTTTTGCCTCACGTCGCCCGCTGGTGTTGCACTGGCTTCTCCTGTGAAGTCGGCTATGCAAAAATCGGATCTAACGGTTACCAAAACTCATTATTCTGCCTTCCGAGACACCCAACTGTTGCTTATTCTTCGCGCAAAGATGGTCATGGAAGTGTTTATCTGTGGCTCGCTCACCAACGTTGGACTCTATGCCACCGCAATGGATGCTGCTCGCCACGGCTTGTCCATTACGATCGTCGAAGATTGTTGTGGTTATCGCTCAAAGGACCGGCAGATAATCGCTCTCCAGAGACTGGTCGAGACGACAGGTTGTGAAGTGGCCTCTGCAAAAGATATCATTAAATCATTTGAAAACCAGCCCAAAAAGCCTGCCATTTCTCGGAAATCGAGCCGGCCAGATAGACTATCCAAGGCGGCGAGTGATAATAGGAGACCAACACCACCGGCAAAAAACATTAAGGCGGATGACATCGCCAAATCACTGTCAGAATTAACTATTGCCCCAGATGCAGCTGAAAACAGAGGCACAGAAAAGCCAACAAACTCAAAACCAGTAAAAAAGACGCCCAAGCCGTCTGGCGCTAGCAACGGGGCTGGGGCTGAGGCTGATGTCCCCAAGGACGGCATTAAGGCTGACTCACAGGCAGCAGCGCCTCAATCGAAACCACTGGAAGACACCAGTCACGTTGGTCGTGTAGCGGACAAGCAAACGATAAAAGAAGGGAAATCTGACAAAGACATTGCCAATCTTATGGTTCATCTCAACATAGAAGACAGTTCAAAGAACCAAGCGCAAACCAATCCCGACATGGAGGCAAAACCCAACCAGTCTCACCCTAACCACAATGATCTTGGTGGTGAAGACAACAAGACTCTCAAGGCACACCAAGATGGAATTTGCGAAGGCGACACGCATGTAATCGAAAATGTGCTCCCAAAGGAACTCGAAGATGGTGTGTTCGACAAGCTTCGCCAAGAGGTTAGCTGGCAGCGAATGTCCCACCAAGGCGGGGAGGTGCCACGTCTGGTTGCTGTCCAAGGCAAAGTAGCTGAGGATGGCAGCATTCCGATTTATCGCCATCCATCTGATGAAGCACCTCCGCTTTTGACATTTTCACCCACCGTCTTTGCTATCAAGGAGGCCACAGAAAAACAAGTGGGCCATCCTCTGAACCATGTATTGATTCAGTACTATAGGGATGGCAATGACTACATCTCAGAACATAGCGACAAGACACTTGATATTGTCAAGGACTCATTCATCGCCAATGTGAGCCTCGGTGCTGAGCGAACAATGGTGCTCAGAACAAAACGATTGGATAAGGACCCATCAAGAACTGAGTCATCCCCTGATCATGGCAACAAGAAGCGACAGGTTCAGAGAGCCCGACTGCCTCATAACTCTCTTTTCCGTATGGGACTTCGCACAAACATGAAATGGCTGCACGCTATACGACAAGACAAAAGAGCAGAACGTGACAAGACCGCCGATGAGCTAGCATATTCGGGTGGGCGTATTTCTCTTACCTTTCGAAATATCGGAACTTTCTTATCCAAGGATCAAACCCTTATTTGGGGCCAAGGTGCCACAGGGAAGGTCCGCGATGACGCTCGGCCAGTTATCAACGGCCAGAGCCCTGAAGCTGTAAAGATGCTCAAAGCTTTTGGTACTGAGAACCATGCTTCAAAGTTCGACTGGGACGCCAGTTATGGAAAAGGCTTTGATGTTTTGCATATGAGCAACTCACCTCGCTTTTTCGCCTCACCGGATCCCATCGTAAACATGCGCATTTCCTTTATGCTTGCTGAGTATGATATCAACCATGCCAAGGGTAACATGGGCCCAGCCAAGGGCGATACAGAGCCTGATACCTGCACTGTGCCTGTCAAGTTCGTTGACAATGATGCGGCCAGGTCTGTTGTTGAGGGCGATGCTAGCATAATGCTCTATCTCGATGCCATATATGGGCCCAAACAAAACGAAGTTCTTGATCAGGCCTCTGTAGCGAAGAAATACACACGCTTCCAACAGGGCCTCAACCTGCTAAAGGCTATCAGGCTCCGGAAAGCCTCCGAAAAGGACACTGGCTCTGACGCCAAGTTCTTGCAACGGGATTTGGCACCGTGGAATGTTCTCCTTGGGGAATCGGAGAACAAGTATTTGGCAGGGGAGAGTCCTTCCCTGCCAGACTTTGTTCTGTGGCCGGTCCTTCACGCCTTGTTTGAGCAGCATGGATCGGCTATTTTTGAGAGTGCAGAGCACCTTGAATGCTACTTTGAGAAACTTAGAACCAGAGAAAGTGTTAAGAAGCTCTTGGCGAAAGATACGGAGGGAGGATCATAGGCTTGATTGATGATGAAACCAAACACCAAGCTGTACATAATGATACCCATCGATATCTATTCAAGACAATCAGACCCGTTTCACGCCTTCCATCTCCCGTGCAATTGCCGCTACTCATTTCTTAAAATGTGCTTTTTTTTTTCTTTTCTGTTGAGTCACCGGTGAAACAAATTACAGGTAAAAAAAATCTATGTTCACGAATGTACAGCAACTCAGTAAATGCGTTGATTACAGAAAGATGTGCACTTTGACCTTCCTGAGGCTCCCGGCCTCTCATGACGTAAATATGATCATCACTCACTCGCCCATGGTAAGGGATAGGTCCCGACCCAATCCTCCAGCTCGCTTCTTAGCTGCAGAATGTCCGGGTAGTTCTCGCCGTTCCCTAAATGATCCATAAAGAACTTCACCTTCCCGGGAGACTTCTCCCCCCGCTCTTCAGCAGCTTTCCGGGCTGCCTTGTCGACACGAACAGTGATGTGAACTGCCCGATCCACGATGTCAGCAACTCGGACAAAGTCATTCTCATTGAAGCCTCGACTGGTCATGGCTGGTGTACCCATACGCAAGCCGCCGGGCACGAGGGCGGATCGGTCACCCGGGACGGTATTCTTGTTGGAAGCCACACCAACAAGCTCGAGTACCCGCTCCACACGACTACCATCGACACCTTGGGGTTTCAAATCGACGAGAACCAGATGATTATCGGTGCCACCACTGACCACACGATAACCCAAGCCCCCCTTTTCCTTTGGCTCGGCCAGCCTCGTGGCGAAAGCTTTTGCATTTGAGACCACCTGCGCTTGGTACGCGTGAAAGTCTGGAGACTGGGCTTGTTTCAGTGCTACAGCAAGAGCAGTGATGGTGTGATTGTGTGGCCCGCCCTGGTGCCCAGGGAAAACGGACGAGTTGATCGGGCCCTCAAGCTCATACAATTCGTCTTCCTTCGTCTTCGGATTCTGCCGCCTCACGCCCCTCCTGTAGAAGATGAGGGCACCACGAGGCCCACGTAGGCTCTTGTGTGTCGTCGTCGTCACAACGTCTGCGAATGAAAACGGACCGGGTATTACGTGGGCGGCCACGAGTCCAGAGATGTGTGCCATATCCGCCACCATATATGCGCCCACTTTGTCGCAGGTTGCGCGGATACGTTTGTAGTCGATGAGGCGGCTGTAGGCGCTAGCACCTGCCACAATCACCTTTGGTCTATAAAGTGTTGCTAACTCGTCCAATTTGTCGTAGTCTATATATCCCGTAGATTCGTCTAGCTGATATGGTACGGTTTCGAAATATTTGGAGACGAAGGAAATCTTCTTCGTGGGTGTCTGATATCCATGGGAAAGGTGCCCCCCATGAGGTAGGTCCAGTCCCATAAGTCGATCGTGAGTGTTCATTAAGGCTGAGTATACGTAAAGGTTCGCCGGAGAGCCGGATAGGGCTACATGGCATATGTTAGCACTTGACAGCAGCATGAGGGATTACACGGCGGAACACACCTTGAACATTGACGCCCCAGGCCTTGGGGTCGAGCCCGAAAGTCTCTAGAGCACGATCCTGACATAGACGCTCGGCCTGATCTATAAATTCGTTCCCGCCATAGTATCGCGCTCCGGGGTACCCTTCCGAGTATTTATCTAGGATCCAACTGTAAGCTATCGTCTGAGTCGCCGAAAGTGTCAAGATCGCCACCAACTTTGCATTACACTGCCAAGGGCATCGAGAACGGCTTGTGATGTGAAATTCTCGGACGGGATTAAGTTGATGAAGTGTTTCTGCCTTTTCTTCTCCTGATTTGTATTGCATTAGCACGGAGACTTATTGGGCTGACTGTTCCATGACCACTTCTAACCTGTTCAATGATCTTGTAGATGACTGGGTCTGCTTTTTCGAGATGCGCGCTCAGGAGCTAATTGGGCAAAGGAACATATTAGTAGTGCGCCTTTCTATGCCTAGAAGGACTTCAAATCGAACGGCTGCAGGTAAGCGGACGACGAACCTGTTGTTGGTTGTCAAGCGACAGAGACGACTTTGCCCTCACAGCGCCGCATGAGAACACCCCCGGTGAAGACTGCGTTTGTCTCGAGAGGCGACGAAGCACCGTCGAGGTGCCACGAACATTTGGTCGCAATGCCATGGCTCAATCGTTGTTGGTGATCGTACGATGGTTGGGGAGCGAGCTACCCCGGGGAAGGATAGCACGAGCTGTTGGAGCCCGAGAGGTGTAGAAATGAACCTGCCGTTAGAAACTCCAGGACCTTCAGCGGCACATGATGCGCAGGCACTGCAGCGACGGGGTACTCGGGCGACGAGCGAGAGGCTGAGTGGACGGGAGCTCCTATCGCAGCTACAAGGCAAGGCGAGGCAAGGCGAGGCGAGGCAGGGCAAGGGCAAATCAGATCCGATAGCCTGGCCGTTGAAGCCGACTGGAGGAGCAGCGCGGGTGGATGATGGACTGTGGGCGTCATCATGCCACTGGACTGGGGCTCCCCACCTCTAACCCAACCGCCTGAGCACCACTAACGGCACCCGCAGCAAGTGCCTCCAGGCCAAGGTACCTCCCGTCCCAAGTGGGTAGCAAGTCGACAACGCGATACATGCATTATAGTAGGTGTCTAGCAATACACGAGACAGCGATTCTCAATTTACTTAATATTGTGGCGGCTGCTACCAATTGAGGAATTCGAGCGTGGTGTTGATGCCTTCACTGGCTACCGACCAGGAACCTCCGCTATCTGCAGGCCGCTGATGACGAATCCATGATGAGCTGACATCCAAGAATAGACACCACACAAAATGCATCGATTGGGGCAAAGAAGCATAACCGACAATAGCACCATCCTTACTGGGGGGTCTCTTCAATGTGAAGGTAGCGAATGAACACCTTGACACCTATGATTTACCATTCTTACAAACGGACCATGGAGCCACATCTGGCCTTGGTAGATTTTTTTTCCGTCTTTTGTCTCGAAGGGCTCATCAATTGACCTGTGATGCAACTGATTTGGTCACACAATCTGGCTTCTGCTTTCTAGAGAGTACTCAGAGACTATCTCGCGTCTACGATATGTTGGCTTGGGGCTCAAGTTGAGATCAACATCGAGCAAAGTTCTGTGGAGGTGCTCTGGAGTTATGCTAGTGGTGTGCGAGAGCCGATGTTCTGTTCGAATCACGACTCCGTCTTGACTCGGTGGTAGTTGCTCTTTGCATTAATGGACCTGATTGACCACACTCGACTTGCGTTCATTTGCACGTACGTGAATTATCGACACTTCAAGAGATGAACTTGAATCCACGCCGTGGCAGAAAATCGTTTTTAGGAATGACATAGCAAATACGAAATATTGCGATACGAGTCCCAAGCTCCGAGTGTCATGGTTTTCATGTTCAATGCTACATGCCAGAAACCGCCCCGCCACCGGTCCGACTGTAGAGGAAACCAAAAGGGCGTAACAAAAATCCCAACCCGTAGACTCCGAATGTAGCTTCTTCCTCTCAAGACCGAAACGTAGCCGTCGCCACCATGTTTTTACTCCTCGCTCAGCAGAGCATTTCTCTTTGCTGCCACTCTCTCCTGCTTGCGCTCGCGTGCAGCCTTGGTCTTGGCACGCTTGGCGTCCATCTCCTCCTTGAGCTTGGTCTCACGGGCCTTCTCGGCCTTGGCACGGTGGATCTATATTATGGATTAGCATCTTTGCTTTCATCAGGAAGGTATGCTGTCCATGATGACCGTTTTCGCCATAGGACAGCGGCAGAAGTAGATGGGGAGAACCTACATGCTCAACGAGAGCACGCTTGTGCTTGAAGGTGTTACCCTTGCTGGAGTGGTAGAGCTCGTGGTACAGGTGCTTGTCGATCTTTCCGCTGGCACGGTACTTGACCAAAAGACGGCGGAGGACACGCAGGCGGCGCATCCAGAGAACCTGCTCAGGCATACGGGCATCGGCAGTACCCTTGCGCTTACCGTAACCTCTGTGGCGACCCTCTCGGCGGGCAAGGTTGAGCTCACGAGCTCGGGAGCGCGAGTGCTGGGTCACAGGCTTGCGGATGATGAGACCATCGGAGATGAGCTTTCGGATTGTCTGCCGGGAGTTGGCGTTGGAGATCTCGCTCTGCTCGTTGGGGTCGAGCCAGATCTTGCGCTTGCCGCAGCCAATGACCGAAGAGGCCAGGCGCTTCTGAGTTCGGAGATTGACCCTAGAAGCATCCAATTAGCACACTCTTGATCCCTCTGGCTTTGGTGCTGTGAGGTAGGAAACATTTCTCGGTTCCGTTAGGAACCTGAAAAAAATGTAGCTGCCTCACGCAGACCATCGACATTCCTCGCCAGCCATCAAATGAAGGCGAATAATTCTTGATTCGAAGACTGATCGATGCATTGGGTTCGTTTCGCGTGCCTACTTACATCTTGATTGTCGTTGGTCGTGACGGTCTGGTCCTTGGGTGGTTGAAGGTTGAGGTCTGGGAGGAGGGGGCTTTACTTCATAGTCATCAAGAATTTCTTAGGTGCACACAATCCAAATGGGGTTTGTGGGTTCACGTGCTTTTCGCCCCACACACAACACTAAGCGAGGGCTATGATGGAGCATGAGTCACCGCCTGGAATAACCTGTGCACGTGACCTTGACCTTCCACCCAATTTCGACTGGCTCTACTTACGTGTGCCACGTTGTAGCAAAGACTGCGGCTACTTACAATACACACCTGGTTAACCAACGAGCAGTCAATAATTTAGTGTTGTACTGGAACGCCAATTTAACGAATTTATCACCGAAAAGGCTGGATCGTAAGAATCGATTATGTGTTATTTTATTGCATATCTGTGAGGTTATGCAGTTTGTCTTTGGCACCAGGATATTGGTGGATATATGGTGATAGCTTAGACCTTCATCTATGAGAAGACATCTTCACCCACATCTACCTTTCCAACACTCCAAATCTCTCGTTCATCTTCCTGTTCGTCGTTGGACAAGCCCAGTCCACCCTGGCCGCCCTCCGCCTCCCTTCTCTCCCTGGCCTGACTTCCAAGTCTAAGTGCAACGCGCTTAAAGTAATCTCCCATGCTTCTCTTAGTGTTCGGCGGTAGGTCTGCCCCTGGCCCAGCCATAAACTTATCAAAGACTCGGCCTTCCTCGTCTGCAACATTGAATATCTCCACGAAGGCAGCTTCGGCAGAGAGCTTGACTGGAATCACAGGGTCTCGGACACTTGCGAAAATTGGTGGAGCGAGGATCGGAACGTGAGGCCGCACCGCATCCATATCACTGCGGCTCACTGTCCGAACCACTACAAGAGCCAAACGTCGCGAATCGGTGGGATTCCCTGGCTCAATGACAGTAGCAAGGGCGCTGAATATCTTCTTTGCATCTTCGAACCCTCTTGGTGACGACGAGAGCAGGTATTTGCCTGTTGCAAGAATGAAGTTATCCGCTATGAAAGTCTATTTCAACAACCCCAGTTAGCGATCCATGTCTTTTGTGTACTAAATGATTATACTTACGCTCTTATGAGTAATGCCCTGGCAAAGTAAATCGGGCAGGTCAGCAGCTAGAGCACTGTCAAGCAAAATGTCTGGAGATTCTACCAGCACAGCGTTGATCGCAAGGGCAGACGGGTTGCTAAAATGAGTCGTGACAACTCGATTTCGAAGTAGGCCTTGGGCAATGTCTTCGGGTACATTCTTGATGAGAGCTCCCAGTAACTTTGCGTTTGTGATGGTCATTGAGTCATCCCGCTCATCAGTGTCCATATCGATCAAGCCAAGGACAGCCGCTCGGGAGGATTCTCCCATGTTGGCTCCAGCTTTGCTCACAACCTCATACAAAGCCTTCAACATCGCAGTCTTGACGCCTGCATCCGTGGTTTTGGAGCCTGTCACAAGTTCGGCAATTAAGGGGTCAATACGAGGCGTGTATTTAATCAGCGTACCCAGAGCACGAGCGGCACGAGATCTCAGTGTTTCGCTCGACGTATCAGCTAGGGATTTAGCAAATGTCCTCTGGAGTTGCGGCAAGAAGGGCTTAAGAGCAGTTGGCATCTTCTCTAGCAAGTTGTTCAAGGTAAGTAGGATGGCCGATTTCACTTCTGTGGCTCGCTCAGACACAACACGAATCAAAGGTCCGGTGATCTGTGTGACGAAAGGTTTCAAGGAAGCCTCGCTTGTCCTGTCCACAATGTCTGAAATTCCCAAAGCAGCCTGGACTCTTTGGTCGGCTGTACCGTTCATCAGACCCTGAAGGAAGATCGGCAGGATCGCATTGATACCCTTTGGCAATTCAAACCCACGAAGAGTAGCACCGGCAACACCAACCCGGACAAGAGTCTGTCGAGTGGATGGTACAAGTGATTCCATCTCTTCTTTCCGCAATCTTTTCGTAAATTCACTGAGCGCAGACCAGGAATCTTTGACAACATCCATATCTCCATCATCAAACGAGTTAAGGAGAGATCGGATAATGTCTTGGTTGTATCTCGAATAGTCCACGCTCGATGCCACGAAGAAGTTGCGGAAATGTCGAGCAGCTGCCGCTCTTCGGCGGTGATCATCATGTTTAAGTGATTGCAGCAGTACGCTCATGATGATGTTGAGACCATCGTACTCATCAATGTGTTGAATAACAGTGTCAAGAGATTGCTCAAGCTCTTCCTTCAACTCTGCTGTCGGGCAATCAATCTCATTGTCCATCAAGGAATTAATGATGCTGGGTAATCGTCTATTCATAGCGGCCCCAGCAACCTTGGACAGTGATGCAATAGCCTTGGCGTTGAATGAAGAGATGGGGGGCTTGACAAGATCTGGAATGAGGATGGGGATAATGATGTTTGATCGTGTAGTTTCTGTAAGCAGTGTGAGGAGAGCTGACAGAGCATTTTCTGCTTGGTCCTCGGACCGGAGAAGAGAAAGCAGATAAGGGAGAACCTGGTCCACAGCACGCTTGTGGAAGATATTTTGTAGCGAGTCGAAAGCCTCGGCAGCTGCCTCTCGCACTTCCTCGTCAGAATCTGTGAGGGCCGCGCGAACGACAGATATCAAGGTCTTTTCGTGTTCTTCCAAAGATTCAGGAGATGCCGAAGATATCAATTCCTTGAGAGCAAGACAGATACCCTGCTTAGCATCAGTATCTGTGGATGTTTGTA